AGACAACTTGGTGACTGCAAAAAAAAAAAAATGACTAATTAATTAAGTGACTTGATATATTCCTGAAGCACATTTGGAACTCCGTGTGCAAGCAATCTTTTGTAACGAGCAAGTGGCGTGTGGCCAGCGAGCCAGCTACGACATTATTCGGTAACATCTATGGTTCCGAGGTGCTTTAGAACTTTTAAATATATTTCATCGTAGAGTAAAAATTTCACTTTTATTATTCATTGTTACAAAATTCAATATCACTACCTAGATCTTAACATCACTGTCGGTTCAAAAAACCCCCTTTACTACCGGATTTTGAACCGGCAGTGACGTGGGATTGACATCACTGTCGGTTCATAAAGTGACGTGGGATTGACATCACTGCCGGTTCTTATGAACCGACAGTGATGTGAACCGGCAGTGATGTAGTTTATAGGAAAGCAAAAACAGCAAAAACATTCATTGAAAAAATAGGAAATTTTTTTAATACCGGGAGAGGCCCCACTGGACAGCCACACGGTCGCGCGTCACAGGTCAAGCGATTTTTCGCTCGAAAAACACGTGCTTCGCGGTCACCGACGCTCGAACCCCTGTCGTCCTCCTTCGCATCTTCAGCCCCTAACCACTCCACGAGCAAACTGTTTGTGTCCAAATGAGATTTTTATCCTAGCCATTTTATGTTCATCTAATTTTGAAATGAGTATTTTGGACCCTAAACGAATTCAAATTAAAAAAGTTGTCAACTACAAAGTTTTATAACTTTTCATGATCTGCAACTTTCATTTTGGTAGTTTCTCCATCCGAGGTCGTTTACAAAATTTAAATTTTAAATTTAAGAAATTCAAACGTAGTTTTCCATGACAAGATGATTTCAAATCAAAAAGTTATCAACTATAAAGTTTCATAACCTTTTGAGATCTACAAATTTCGTTTTTGCTGTTTGTCCAGCCGAGGTCGTTTAAAAAATTCAAATTTCATTTTTTTGAAATTTAAACATAGGTTTCCTTGGGAAGATTGTTTCAAATAAAAAAGTTGTCAACTACATAGTTTCATAACTTTTTGGGATCTACAACTTTCATTTTGGTAGTTTCTCCATCCGAGGTCGTTTACAAAATTTAAATTTCAAATTTTAGAAATTCAAACGTAATTTTCTTTGACAAGATGATTTCGAATCAAAAAGTTGTCAACTATAGAGTTTCATAACTTTCCGAGATCTATAACTTCTATTTTGGTCATTTAATCATTTATTCATCCGACACAGTGGTAGTAACATTGTTCACAAATGTTATATATCTCTCTTATTGTTTATGAAACTATAAGAGAGGTATGTAAATTTTGTGAAAAATGTTATTACCACTTTATCGGATGAAGAAATAATCAAAATAAAAGTCATAGATCTTGATAAGGTCTACAACTTCTATGTTTATGATTTTTTCATCTAAAATCATTTAGTGTTCCAAAATAACGTTTGAAGTTGCCATTTTTTGAAATTCAAAATTCAAATAGATAAAACACAGGCACATGAAAAGATGATAAAATAATAGTGGTAAGAACATAATAAATTGATAGAGCATGATTTTAGAAATTTTTAGAAAAAAATCATCAAACTTGAAGTTAGTACGAGGGAGAAAGACTAGTTACAAGTTTTAGATAAAGATTAAAAAGAGAAATCAGAGTTCTTCAATAATTTTAATTTTTAATTTCAAACATCATTTACAAATAGTAAATGATCTCAAATGAAAAAGTTTTCAACTACAAAGTTGCATAACTTTTCGAGATCTACAACTTTTGTTTTGGACGTTTCGTCTAAGGCCGTTTGAAAAATTCAAATTCTAATTTTAGAAATCAAACATAATTTTCGTTTGATAGATTATTTTAAATGAAAATATTTGGACATCCAAACGATCTCAAATTAAAAAAGTTGAACTACAAAGTTGTAGATCTCGTTGAGTACTACAACTTTGATATAAAGTTCGTCTTCAGCGAACATCATATAAGAAACTTATGAAGTTTTCTTGCAGCATATCACTGTCGGTTCAAGCCACGAACCGACAGTGATAGTATCAGTGTTGGTTCCTGGCTAAAATCGGCAGTGATGAACCAATATCACTGCTGGTACTTGGCTAAAATCGACAGTGATATGAACTAAGAGTGAATACCCGAATATCAGTGTCGGTTGGTCCTATCACTGTCTATCACTGCCGGTTTTTTAAAATTCGGCAGTGATGAGGCCGGCAGTGATGTCCAATTATGTAGTAGTGTATTTCAGGTTAATTATTCGCCACTTCCATCCATACTGTAAACCTTCTCAATCTTTGGATTTTGGTTGATGCTAATTACACTACTACAGGAAACTTAAGAGAGGCGGACAAAATAGCTTAACCGAGGCGGGCATCGCAACCGCGTCGGTCCAAAGGTCATGGTAAATGGGACCTTTTCCGAGGCGGTTAGCCGCTCGCCTCGGTTAATCAAATAAAGAAAACAAAAAAAGAAAAACCCGTGGATAAGCCCAGCGAGCCCATCCACAAGCTTGTCGAGCCCATCCACGCCCCGCCGCTCCGCTAGCTGGATCTGCACCGCCGTTGCGTCCACTCGTCGGATCTGGCTGCCTGCTCGCCGGATCTACTCACTGCGCGTCGCTGTAGGGAGAGAGAGGAGAGAGGGTGCTGAAAGGTCCTAATATGGCTAGAGGGGGGGTGAATAGCCTATTTAAAAATCTAAAAATCAACTTGAGAAATTTGATTAGTATAACAAATAGCGAAATACAAACTTGTTCTAGCTCTACAAGGGTTGCAAGCCATCTATCCAACAATTCTAGTTACTATGATCACTAGATACACAATTTGCTAAGTCACTACTCACTAAGATCTTTCACACTTGCTACACTAAAGGGCTCCACTAGATGAACTCAAACTACAAAGTAAGCTCTCAATTCTAATTACACTAAAGAGCTTGCTACAACTAGTTTGTGAGAATATAAATGAGTGAGTAGGGTGATTATACCCCATGTAGAGGAGTGAACCAATCACAAGATGAACACTAAATCAATCACCGGGAGAATACCAAAGGGCAAGAGACAATCAATTTTCTCCCGAGGTTCACGTGCTTGCCAACACGCTACATCCCCATTGTGTCGACCAACACTTGGTGGTTCAGCAGCTAAGAGGTGTTGCACGAACCTCGTTCACACAATTGGACACCACAAGAACCTACCAACAAGTGAGGTAACTCAATGACACGAGCAATCCACTAGGGTTACCTTTTGGCGCTTCGCCGAGGAAGGTACAAATCCCCTCACAATCACCAGAGATGGCAACGAACAATTACCAACTCGTGACAATTCTCCTCCACTACACTGAGCCGTCTAGGTAGTTGCAACCACCAAGAGCAACAAGCGAATCTGGCAGCAAAACACGAACACCAAGTGCCTCTAGATACAATCACTCAAGCAATGCACTTGGATTCTCTCCCAATCTCACAAAGACGATGAATCCATGATGGAGATGAGTGGGAGGGCTTTGGCTAAGCTCACAAGGTTGCTATGTCAATGTAAAATGGCCAAAAGTGTGAGCTTGAGCCGGCTATGGGGGTTAAATAGAAGCCCCCACGAAATAGAGCCGTTGGCTCCTCAGTCCACTGAAAATCGGGGCGACCGGACACGCCGGTCGTATTGACCGGACGCGGACCTCAGATATTCGCCACGTGTCCCCTGCTTCAAATGCTGATCGCTCGATCTCAATGATCATCAGTGCATTTAAGTTGTGACCGGACGCACTGCTCGAAGTGACCGAACGCACCAACACCAGCGTTCGATCGTTTCCAGTAAGGTTCCACTCATGACCGGACGCGTCCGGTCATGCCTGACTAGACTCGCCCAGCGTACGATCACTCACCCACTTCTCTATGTGCTGCCACATCATCATGACCTGATGCTGAATAGTGTTCAACCAGAGTCCAATCGTCTATGTCCGATCAAGAGACCGAGGGTGGCCTTCACTGCGTGCCACTGATTGGACGCAGGACCCCAGCGTCCGGTCACTGCGTGACCAGCATTCGGTGCACTCTGTGAAACCCTGTCTTTTCTGTACAGGGCGCCGATGGCACCGTCGGACTGTCCGCACTCTACGGGCGGACACTCCGCCGGTGAAGTTTTGAACCCTTGCCCCCAAGTACTAAACACAATGTGTATCACCATTGTGCACATGTGTTAGCACATTTTCACAAGCATTTTCAAGGGTGTTAGCTTTCCACTAGATCCTAAACGCATATGCAATGAGTTAGAGCATCTAGTGGCACTTTAATAACCGCATTTTGATATGAGTTTCACCACTCTTAATAGTATGACTATCGATCCTAAATGTTATCACACTCTCTATGTATCTCGATCACTAAACAAAAAAGCTTCTAACAATTTTACCTTTGCCTTGAGCTTTTTGTTTTTCTTTCCTCTTTTCTAAGTCCAAGCATTTGATTGTCACCATGCCATCATCATTATCATATCATGATCTTCATTTGCTTCACTACTTGGAGTAGTGCTACCTATCTCATAATCACTTTGATAAACTAGGTTAGCACTTAGGGTTTCATCAATTCACCAAAACTAAACTAGAGCTTTCAATCTCCCCCTTTTTGGTAATTCATGACAACCCTTTCATAAAGATATGAATTGGAATTTAATTGAATCTATGTTGCTTGCCCAAGCATATTTACCATGTGTAAAAGGATATGGACAAGTTTCATGAACCCCAAAAGGTAGCAATTGCTCCCCCTACATATGTGCTAAGAGTTTGGGTTGTAGCTTGCACATATGCTTAGATAGGAAATATAGGAGACAATGTCTACCAAATGATGCTAAGGTATAAGAGATGGACCTTTGAAGCATGATACCAATCGGAGTGCACCAATATACACAAAAACTAGAATACCCCATGAGATCAACATTAGAAGCAAGGGTCTAGTTTCCATAAAATAAACATAAGTCTAGTTACTTTAGCCTATGCATGCTAGTTTTTCATTTTATCATTCAAGCCTATAACTAGCATACACCACCCAAGCATGGATATTGAAATTTAAAACTTGTGCCATGCAAGGAAATATATGAAATGCATATTCAA